TAATAACAAATCCAAAATATTTTATAATATTATCTAATTTAAAATATATTATTGATAACTGTAAGAAAATTAGTACATTACATGATTTATAATGTAAAAATTAATAAGTAAAATACAAGACTTAGTTATCAATATAAAAATTATTAAAATGCGTCCCGATTTTTGAAATAACGCTTTAATTTTTCAAAAGTTTAATTTTTTATATTCTAGAATAAATTTAGTAAAAGAGATTGTTAGTAGAAAGAGAGAGATTTAACTAAAATAAAATATTTATTTTTTATTTTTTTTATGCCTTTTATATTATTTACAGCAAAAATAATTTATAGCACTTGGGACATCAAAAAAGAAATTACAACAAACGCCTTTTATATTATTTACAACAAAAATAATTTATAGCGCTTGGGATATCAAGGAAGAAATTACAACCAAAGAAATAAATAGCACCCAAAGCAGGAGGATTCGACTTTGGACATCAAGGAAGAAATTGGATGTGATAACCCTCAACACCACCCCATCGCATGTGATATCATGTTTCCTATTAATAGTACATATTCAAACTTAGTCTTCATTTAATGATGTTTGTGGGAATTATCCCATATCGAAGGATCGGTATTGAACATTCCTATATAAATAACAATGTAATAACGCGTAAAGTACGTGCATGAAGCCGCAGAGGCAACCCAACGTGTGAGGTACCACTTGTAATCGTGACACCGTGGGTGTGAAATTGTGCCACGTGTAGAATCCGAAGATTGATGATATCAGAGCCGCCAATTTATGTGTGAAATTGTGCCACGTGTAGAATCGAAGATTGATGATATCAGAGCCGCCAATTTGTGACATCATCAGGTAGTTCACTGTTCAGAATCGGGTGGATCGGGTGGTTATCTCTAGACACGGGAGGTTCCGTGTATTTTGCCCGAACTGGCACGGGGTGCCGATTCTTGAGTCGAACCAAGAGAGGTTCAGTATGAACCTAAACTAGGTGCTTATCAAAAAAGCAAAGCTCTGAGTCGAACCGGGTGAGCCGTCGACTTTTTATCAACAAAGCAAAGCTCCGATTCCCGAGTCGAATTGGGTGAGCCGCCGACTTTTCAAACACTGAACCTTAGTATGAACATGAATTAGCTCTGCGGTTGAAGATGAAGACACTTCAATCGCTAGTTTAATCTCGGCCATCAACTCCAAGTACCGGGCTAAAGGGATAGGATTCCAAATAAGTCTTTTCTTTTATTAATTTTTAGTTTATTTCATTTTCTATTTCTTTTCTTGTTTCTTTTCTTCTTTAATGGATTATGTATTATTTCAAGCCGGCTCTGCCGATGGTTTATGATGAGAGATCGGTTTATGCAATTCCATCTTCTTATATGCTGTAATGCGACACGGAACCCACTATTCTCTATCAAAATTTAATTGTTTAAGTTTGAAGCATAGATTGGAGAGGATTTCTTCTTAGATCTTCATGGATTTGGCTGTAAATGAATAGACTTTGAAAACATAAAAAAAAAAAATTAGAAAGTATTTTTAAAAGTTTTGAAGGAAATAATATATAATATCAAAGAGAAGAGCAGGGAGAAGCGACTTGATGCGAGCCGGGGCCACAGGTCTGGCGCTTGGACTTGGGGCCTAGATTAGACTTAGATGTCAGGCATCCTTCTCCACAAGCCTTAAAGTTCATTTGAACCACATTTCTTAAAGTTGAACTTGTGAGGGACTAGACCCCCTGTTACCTAGGTTTTTAGACTTGACCTGGATGAGGATTCAGGGTTTTGATCTTTTCAGCTTACAAGGATTTTAATAGCTCGATAGATATCTAAGGTTTGGAGGCCAACGGTCAGGGCTCAAGATTTTAGGGTTTTTGGTCCTGGGGCAGTCCAAAACAGATATATTTATCAACGAAAGGGGTACAAATATTGCAGTGTACACCACTCCCTATTATCAAATAGGTATGTGTTATAGTATTAGGAAGCAGGCCGCTTCCAAAAAGCAAACGGTGCACTTGGCATACGGACTTCAAATTTTATCATGGTATATAATTTTGATGTAAATTGTTCTTAAGATTATCTCAAAATCTATTTTTATATCCGGTTATAAAAGTTTAAATTTAAAAAATAGTTAAAATAAAATAGATCTAAAAACATATGAAAATCATGAAAATGAACGGTGTAGATAATATGTTGTAAAATGCACTAGTTCTTAGATTTAAAATCTTTTTATTTTTCATGATCGTATATCTCGATGTCGAGATGGTCAATCAAAATATTTTTCAACATTAAAACTACCTTTTCCGATGGATTATTGAGGTGCATCAATATAAGGTTACATCCTTACCTAAACTTTTATCAAAATTCAATGCGCAAGTAGGGTCCTAAAAAAATGTTGAATATAAGGTTTTACATAGGAGATGTGAGATGCTCCAATGGGAATGTACAATCTTTTAGCCTTTTTTATGCTCTCAAAGACCAAACATTTCAAATACAACACAAAGCATACCCATGAGAAATGTAGAAAAGAGAGCACCAACCAAATCACAATGGATCATTCTATGAAGCCCAAATTTTTTTGTTTTTGAATGTTAACCTAAAAATTCATGAAACTCCAAAATTGATGTAGTTTGTGCCAAATTGTCAAGAATTACTTACTATAAGAACATTTTTCTTAGTATATGGTTCTATTACATGTGACTATAATCCCATATACCAATGATAAACGTTCCTACTATACACTTTTCCATAACCATATATATGTGAAGAAATTGTATTTCTGGATAATTGGGCCTTAAGTCCTCATGAAGATGTACTATCAAGCTTATCAAATATATGTACAAGAGCCTCAATTTATAGGGTTACAAAGATGTGTAGTACTATAAAAACTAATACATGTAATGAACTACCTTCCTAATATGGGTACATATAAAAAGAATGAAATATTGTTTCTAAAGATAAGTATAAGATTCTATATTTCCACAATATAAAGCCAAAAACTATTGGGCTCAAGTCATCATATTAGTCAATAGATTGCTATTGCCTATCTTTCTTTCCAAGCCCTAATAAAGGGCATTTATCCACTTTAGTCTGAAAAACAAAAGAGATATAGAATTGTGCGAATTATCAAGAGATCAAACTTACACTATAAAGCTATGGGAGAGAGTGATTAAGCAGCGACTAAGGTATGACACAAGTGTATTAGAAAATTAATTTGTTTTTATGCTAAGGATGACAATAATTAAAACGAATTTTCCTACTTAAGTAACTGATTGAAGAACGAAGAGAAGTCATGGTCTTTATTAATCTAAAGAAAGCTTATGATATAGTACCTCAAGATTTAATCATAAAAAAAAAGGCACATCGAGAAGTAATTTGTTGGGTATTGGAAATAAATAAGTCTCTAAATACTATCTCGACTTAGTGAGAGACATGTTAGAGGGAGCACTAACTAGTGAGCGAACAACTAGCGGAGAGAGGAGCGAGTTTTCAGTGACAATAAGTCTACATCAGGGGTCAGCGTTAAACTCATACCTCCTTGTCTTCGTTATGGATGACTTAATTAGACACCTACAAGCTAAGGTACCATAGTGTGTGTTATTCACGGATGACATAGTTTTGATCAATGAGACCCGACGAGGGGTCAATACAAAGTTCGAACTTTTGAGGTATACTCTAGAATCAAAGATTTCAAAATTAGCAAAACTAAAATAAAGGATATGAAATGAAAGTTTAGTAATAATAGTAGTAAAGATGAGGGAGTGCTTAAGATTGATGGCCAAAAAATACTAAAAAGATTGCATTTTTTGTATCTTAGGTTGATAATCCAAGAAAATAGAGAAATTAAGGAAGATGATGTACATAAAATTAGAATTGAGTGAGTGAATGGAGACATGTAATGGGAGTTTTATGTGATCACTGTATACCAATGAAGCTAAAGGGAAAATTCTAAAAAATAGATGTGAGACAACTTTTTGCTTTATGAGGCAAAACATTAGGCGGTCAAGAAACAACATACCCATAGGATGACTGTAGCTAAGAAGGGATGTTGAGATGGAAGAGTGGCAAAATAAGAAATGATAAAATTCAAAATGAATACATTTAGAAGGTCTTAGGCGTGGCTCCAATAGACGATAAGATGAGAAAAAGTAGACTTAGATGGGCAGGCCTTGTAAAGCATAGACCGAGTACAATATTAATTCGGATGCATGAGTTGGTTCTAGTGGAAGACTAAAAAAATACAAAGATTAGGCCCAAAAAGACATGGTTAGAAGTAGTGAAAAAATATATGGGAACTTGTAACCTTATTGAAAGTATGACCCTTAATAGAGCAAAATATCAAATTATGATTCCTTTAACCTGAAAAGGATCGGATGATGATAATGATGTTCCACTTTACTCTCAAACCATAGCTAATAGAAGACCTGTCTCAACATATCAAAACTTTGAAGCCCATTTATCCTACAATGTCATCTCAACAATGTGTGCATTCTATGCTCCTACAGGAGCATCTATACATTATTATCTCATGTAGAATACTTATTTTTGACGAATTTTTTTTTTTATAAAAAAATAAAGTTTAGAAACTACCTGAGAATCAACATAATTGTTCTTAAAAAGAAAAAAAAAATTGATTTTGAGTGGTCTTATGCTCAGATCTCACCTTCAAATTAGACGATCTCTATTTAGTCTTGGGATATCATTTTTTTTTCCAAGCATATAGAATGTGATTTGGAAAGTTTAGTTTATTGGTTAAAGATGTTAGATCTTCAAAATTTATGGTCCTTAAAATACTCCTAAATTTGGTTTTACCTGAAGGCATAGATGAACAATTCTATTCCGCGGGATCATAAAATATTTTCTCTTATTTAAAAGGAGTCGAGGGTCGCAGCCCCCGTCCACGACAGGATAGGACCACATTGGCGTTTAAATCAAAGTTGAGGTTCGTATTTTATTTCTCACTCCAACGTCTAAACATACGCCCCCCCGCCCCCCGACCCCCTGCCCCCACCCCGCGCCCCTCTCACTCTCTCTCTCATCTCTGATAAGAGGACTCTCTCTCTCTCTCCCCCTCTTTCTCTCTCTCTCAGATAAGAAGCATTTTCCCTCTGAACTAGGAAAGAGCAATGACGGAAGAGGCTTGCCCAAAGGTTACAGAAGAATCCACGCCTTCTGCAACAACCAAACAGAGGTACCCATTTCTATGTAACCCTAATTTTTCTTTATTTACAGTATTCCCCTTATTTTGCAGCAATCACTCCATGAATCTAGGGCAACAGTACATGGTACATGATATTTAATTGCAATTTAGAATTTCTTATAAACCCTCTATTGACTGTGTTTGAGTCGTAGGCTCATTGAATTTGTGTAATACTATGGGAATTTAATAAAATTTTGTTCCTATTGTTTTAGTTGAGAATTGGATTCTGAACTTTCCAGATGTATGATTCAGTCTGACCTCTATTTTTTCTTTAATTGGAAATGTTAGTCAATCATTCTTTTTGTGAACAAATGCTGTCTAGTTGTTTGATCCTGGCTTTTAGGACACATTTTAATCTATTGTCTTGGTAGCTCCTAACTCGTTCAAGTTAGAATAATTTCATTTTAATTTTCTTATATTTTTTGGTCATATGATCCTCTTACATTTCCTAATGAGGCGAAAAGGCCTTAAAGAGTACTTTAGGAATATGACTTCACCCCCTTTGAAAGAGAGCCTTTCTTTAGGGTGTAGATCGAGAAATGAAACTGGAGGTGGAAACCTTTCCGAGAGAAACAGAAGCCATGGTAAAAATTGGCTTTATTATTTTAAGTTCTTAAGTTGATTACAAATTGGCACGTGGTTTTCCTTTATTCAGAAGTGTTTTTCGGGTGAAGTATGGTGTGCCTTTTCTCTACCATTTCTTGTTTATTTTCTTTTATTGGATGATTTGTTTTACTTACCATTTCTCTAGTTTTGTTTGGTTGAGTTTCATTAATGCACCTGGAAGAAAAGGAGTTCTTCTTCAGGACTAATTCACAAGAAAAGAAAATCCTAGTAACCATGAATGGACATGATTCGGAAATAGCAAAACCTTAGAATTTTATGGGCGGTAGGATGTTTGAAAGGACTTATGGAGCTCAGAACTGGTTGGTCCCAATAAAAATGTCTGGTTTGGTAACTGCCAAATTTTGTCCAGAATTTTGGTATTCTTTCTTTGAAGATAAGACTGGACTGATTATGAAAAAAGGGGGTAACTGGACTGGTTCTAGGCCCGTGCATGGTTCAACCAGTTGAATTGGTCTTTGTACCTCTGGTTATTGATAAGAGGTAAACATCTGCTTCTGCATCTAATAGTTTAAATATTTCATCTTGCTCTCATGTTCCATTGGTTGTATTTTACTTAGTAACCTCTCAATGTCTGATCCCCATGCCAAATATAATAAATATAGCCCATTTCTGTCACCATGCTCATGTTATGCTTCCATTCTATGGGCTTTATTGATTGCTCAGTATACTTGTTGTGCTTGTGGTTTGGGATTATGTGAGGATGTTTTAGAGTTGCTCTATATTTTAACAGGAAAAAGAGAAAATGGGATGAACCTGCTGTGCCTTTTATGTCAGCTGGGACTCCAATACCTGGAGTCCTCCCATACAGTAGTGTTGGAGCTATTCCTGGAGTTATCGTTCCTAGTATGGATCTGTTTTCTGGTGCTCTTCTGACAGCTGGGAACTTAGTGACTTCTCCAAATGTTTCAGATATTCATCCGATGCCTGTGGTCCAACAGAATGCAGTTTCTGTTTTGCAAAAACTTGATCAAGTAAGTGATCATTTTGCAAGCATTCAATAAAATGCTTTATTGAAATATCTTCACTGTGTTTATTAGTACTGACATCCTTCCTGTATTAACTTAATCTTGTTAGTCGTATGAAAATCTGAGTAATATTTGAGCCAGGAAGATCCTGTTGTTTTCCGTTAGAGAATAATCAGTATATAAACTGTTTAGGATCACCATATAAATGTTATTTTTCAAAAGAATGGTAAATAAATGTTTTCATCATAATTTTCTGTTAAGTCTTTATCACCATCCATTGTTTAACGGTTAAGTTTAGTTTCAACGTGGAGAAGTTCTACAAGTGGCACAACCATAACTCTTTTGTTTATGTTTTTTATGAACTCGCCAGATTACTGGAAATATCGTCCCGACTTCCTTTTTCTAAAACGGTTCTTATTTGCAGCCTCAACTTTGTGTACATAAGCTTTTACCTGTTCCAGGTTTATTGTTTGATTGGCTTCAATGGTATACTTGCTGACAGGATTTAGCAACCAAAGGAGTAGTTCCCCTGCCAAAGATACAAGATGAACTCATTGCCCGAGAGATTGTCATTAATGATGCTGAACCTGCTGTACGGTACAAGCTTACAAAGAGACAGACTCAGGAAGAGGTGAGATAGGGAGTTGAAGTTCATTGATTTGCAAGATGTAGTTTCTGATAAAGCAAATCATGTATTCATGCTATAGCCTGCTATACATTTAGTGACTTACTTATATGTTATGATTTTACTCGGTTATTTTTTGTATTTCTTTTTACCTTTTAGATAATTGTTTTATCTCTTTTCTTCTTGTTGGCAGATTCAGAAGTGCACCGGTGCTGTGGTCATTACAAGGTGAGGATGGCTGTGCAGGATTAAATACTTAAATTTTGGATGCCTTCTAGTTGTTAGTCTGTTACCTTATTGTTCTTTGTGGAATTTTCTAGGGGTAAATACCGCCCTCCTGGCTGTTTGCTTGACAATGATAAACCACTATACCTTCACATTTCTGCTGGGGCTCATGTAAGTCTCTTATTTTATTTTTTTTGTTGATTAGCTGAAACCCGTTGATAGACTACTAGTTTGATAGTGGTTTAAGTAAGACAGGCTGTTAAGCCAATTCCTTTTTTTTTTTTTTTTTTCTAGTCATGACCTTTTATTATGCACTATTTAACCTTTTTGAGTAACCAAGTGACCCATAGTCCATACAGTAATTTATATGTTTTTGATAAAGAAAATTACTTATTTATATGGTTTTGATAAAGAAGATAACTTATTTATATGGTTTTGATAAAGAAGATTACTTGGGCTTCTGACAGCTACCTGTACTTAACCAAAAGCACAAGAAAGCTAAGTCACCATCACAGTGTGATCAATGTTCCAAAAATGCCGGGCAGTACCCAGGTGCCTGCCTAGGCGGCAGCCCTTTCTGAGCAGCCGAGGTGGTGGAACAAGGATGGGAGTTGTTCACAAAACTGTTTTTATGTCCAAATTGTGTAAAAAATATATATTGAGGCATTTTAATATTTTTTTATGTTCAATCAATGCAAACTCTAAAGACAAACCAAAGTATTTGAGATATGGACAATTAGTTAATAACAAATTAAGAAAACTAGGAAAATATAATCCAACATTCAAATTCAGCACTAGACTACTAGTAGGCTAGACTACTAGTACTAAATACTAACGCAATCGCAAGGAAAAGATAATAATTATATAGTCACATACACACAATTCCCAAATCATAACTTATAATCCAATTAATCCAGACTCCATAGTCCAAAGCCCAACCCAAACACCATAGAGCATACTTCTTATTAACTCATACACATAATGGCATAATACATAGTCCGTAATCCATACAAATTTCAATCTTGAGATGTTTCCCATTCTCAAAAGCTTCCGAAAACCCTTGTATAAGCTTTTAAACCTATAAATTCAAATCCAAACCAAAAGGATGATGAATGGATTAATTTTTTAGAACTTGGAATTACTAATCAATCTAATAGCAAAGCAAAAATGTGTGTTTTTCGTCCATTCTAATATATAAAGAAAGGGAACTTAGGATATAAAAACCTGAACCCCCTGTCCCCCCCCGGGGGGATGCCCTCTTATTTAAGGGGGGAAGGTACAAAAATGCCCCTCCACTAGGGGCAGTTTTGCCCTTGGGTTGGCACAAACCCTGGGTGCCCGCCCAAGGCTAGGCCTTGGGCTTCCTTGCCGGGCACCCAGGAACCCAGTGCCTAGGAAGGCCGCTTAGGCCTTAGCGACGTGCCCAGGCCCCCCTGGACCATTGAGGTCGTCTAGGCGCTAGGCAGGCCATTTTTTGAAACATTGAGAGTGATGCTTTTAACATTAAAATAGAAAATTAATTATAAATACCAACCAATAAAAAAAATTCTATGGATGTTGCCGTCATTTTCTCCTGTGTTGACTAAGCACCATTACATTGGATGGCGGTTCCTGCTTTAACTATGACTATGGACTATCCATCTATTGGATGATCCAGTCTACAATACAAGAGCCCTAATTCTTTTTCTTTTGTTTTTAAACTGATAGCATAGTGAGTGAAGAGCTGTTTCAAAAAAATCAAGTGCTAAAATTCCTCTGGATATGTTTTTTGGGTTTGTGGTGAACCCTATAGGAATTTGATCATATGGTCTTTTGGAGAGTTTTTGTTAAAATATGAATACCATTGATTGAGATTAGTTCAGTACATAGTGGAAAGGAACCAATTTTTCTGTTAAAAAAAGAAAAAATTCTTTATGATGTTTGACCCGTACCCCCAACAAAAAGCAATAGGTGACTTCCTAGGTAACTTACTATAGCCTTACCATATGTAGTGAAAAACTTTCTTGCTCCGACTTCTCTCTCTATCGTGTGAACAAGCACTGATGATGGTTATAGCACTGACTTGGTAACACTACCTCTCCAGCTTAAAGACACAGCAAAAAGGATTAAAACTGTTGACCGTGCTGCGGCCATGGTGGAGGAAATAATGAAACAAGGGCAGATTCCCCAGCTATTTTCTAATAATTTCCTCCCATTAACTGGCACTGGAGTACAGGTCGGTGGTCTTTCTGTCTTTTAATAATGGAATGTGCCATATTAGGGTTACTAACCTCTTTCATGTTTTGGTTGCATGATGAACATAGGTTAATAAGCCTTTCAGTGCATGTGTCTTTTTGGGTTTTGAGCCCAATCCATCCTTGAATGTTGCTGCTCGGATTCGTGGGCCAAGTGTAAGCATTTCACTGCCTCAGCTACATTTTTTTTGGATATCTTGTCAGTATGCCTTTGTCTGGAATGCCAGTTAATTAGGTTGCTGTTTATTGATTTTATGCCTGGGCTTTATGTGTTGTAATTAATTTATCTTTTAAAGAAAGATGGGTACTATGTGCTTGCTTCTTTTATTCTTGAGTAATATACATATTTCCAAAAAAAATAGTCATGCTTGTCTCCTTCGTGTAATGACTAACATACTGGTCTGTATCCTTTCAGAGACCTTCTAATTCTTTTTAATGATCCTTGTAAGATTTTTTTTATTTATCAATTTTTATTTTTGCTCTCTTTTAGCTCATTTATATGTCAATGTTTTTTAGATATCCTACTCAATGTGTGTGATTAGATGATGTCCGCATTTGGTAATTGGTTGGTACAAATTCATATAATCTACGCCCCAAAAGAGTCTTGTTTGCTTCTGTGCTGAACATAATCATCCTATTGTATATCATTTTGTTCTTTTCTTCTATTGTATGTACTGGTTGTAAGCAATTATCTAGTTATCGTTACATTCTTCAAGACAAGATTTCTAATGATTTAAAGCTGTCCCTGACTTCTCCATACCCTTGGGAGAGATTGTTTTTGTGCTGGTGGTGGTTGGCTTTGTACATGCAGGACCAGTATATAAACCACATTATGAATGAAACAGGAGCTACTGTTATGTTGAGAGGACAAGGCTCAGATGGTGTTGAGGGTCCATATTCTGAAGGTTGTGGATTCTATCTACACCTGGCCCTCTTATTTCTGATAGATAATTCTGCACTTCGCCTCAATGCCGTTCAATTTGCCAGTTGACACAATTTAGTACATTTTTCTTTTGTTGCAGAACCACAACAACCTTTGCACTTATATTTGGCTGGTAATACCTTGAAGAGTCTTGAAGATGCAAAGCGGCTGGCAGAGAATCTTCTGGATACAATCAGTGTGGAGTGTGGTGCATCAAGGTTAGCATCCATTAGACCGGCTGATTTTTGACAATGTTCTGCTTTAATATATTTGGTATTAAATTATGTCATGATAGTAATGTTATGTAAGAATTTGATCTTATTTTCTTTTTTTGATTTTTTTCTTTTTTTCTGTAATTGGTTTATCCCCACTTATTAGTTACTTGAGTAGGAATTCTAAATTACACAAGGTTAGCATCCATTAGACTGGCTGATTTTTGACAATGTTCTGCTCTAATATATTTGGTATTAAATTATGTCATGATAGTAATGTTCTGTAAGAATTTGATCTTATTTTCTTTTTTTGATTTTTTTCTTTTTTTCTGTAATTGGTTTATCCCCACTTATTAGTTACTTGAATTGGAATTCTAAATTACACATTGTATCAATTTATTTCCTTGTTTTCTGTGCTAGCAATGATTCATATATTTATCTGGCTAGATGGAATGTATTTGTTTATTAACTGCTGAGGGAGCCATCATGGGGTGAGGGAGCAGGACCCTCTTCCTTTACTCGCATAAGTTAATTTGCACTTGAAATGTAGTATTAGTTAAACTTTTTTGCAAGTAATCGAGGAGAAAACAGTAACATTTATTTCATTGAGGATTTTGTATCACCCTTGATTTTGAGGATTACTTTGTGGGTAGTGTTATATGCTTTTATACTTCCACTCTCCGACTTTATTGTTAGGCTTTCATCATGGTGCATATCATAATTCATATATTGTCAAAAAAAAAGAAAAAAGATCACATATTGCTCTAGGGTGATAATACTCCTGTGAAACTACTGCTAATGAACATCATGTACCATTTTTATATCATCTAGGGTGTCTTCCAGCAAAGTCTACAATGCGGTTCCCCCTCCTCAACAGTTGTTAACTAAAATAGAAAGCGCACTGAAAGAAGCCAATGGAAGTGCAAATGGGCCTGTGGGTACGACATCCTTGTCCACCAACTTAACAACAGAACCTTCAATTTCCACAGCAAATGTACCAGCACTACCTTTTTCTACTTCCATGGGGATCTCCACCACCTGTTCTCAAGGACCAAGCTTGCATCAACCTGGTAGTGCCTTCAATTATGGACAACGTCCAATTCAGTCACTCAGTTATCCTGGGCCTTCACTAGCTGGAGGAACAAGATATAGTGGATACGAGGGGATATATCCTCAGGCTACTCCTTTGCAGCAAGTTGCTTTGGCATTGAGACAACCGCCTGCTCCAGCCTCTCAGCTTTCTTCCACCTCATCAACAGTCAGTGCATTGCCTAAGATGAATTCGAGCTCTGATTGTTCAGCAGTTAACAAACAAAGGCGGAAGTTTCAAGAGTTGCCAGTTAATCCCAAGGGACTGACAATTGCTCATCAGGTATTGTGTTCAATGTTTTAGGTGAGGATTCAAGTAATAAATTCTCAAGAGATTCCATCATTGAGGAAGATTCAGAGAGTCAATATGGTTTGGGTTTCTCGCTGGGATACTGAGATTTTGTCTGAAATTCTGTTGTAACCATAAGTTTTGTTACCATCTAGAATTAGATTGATGGTTTTGTCTACCACATTGTGGCTTTAAGAAATATCTGTCTAGGCCTAGGATTTCTCTAGGGTATAAAATTTTTTATTTGTGGCGGGAGATTAACTTTGCAGAGTAGAAGTTGGGTTTCTATTTTATTCATCAAAATTTTTTTTCTCCACTCTTTTCCAGTGCAGCATTCGCTTGAACATGACTTTCTGAATTTAATATTGCAGAATGAGTGTGTAAAGTGGTAGCAATAAGTGTGTGAAAAGTAAAAAGAGACTTTTGGAGGAGGGTGGGTTATATTTGCACTTTGACCTGTCCTCACATGAAATAATGAATAGTATTACTCTCTTCACCATGAGCTAAAATTGATCCAGATGTATTTACTTTCTCTGGGTTGAGGCTTCGAGGTCTTTTCCTGAAACCACTAACCATTGCTAGAAAATTTGCAAAAAAAACAAAAAAATTGCTTCCCATGTAATGCTCGAACTGTTATCTTTGAAGGGACTTGAACAATCATAATTATCATTTCTTATTTATTTCCTATTATTGTCATGCTGATAAGTTCTAATTATTCCAGGTATTTTCTCTGACCTTCTATCAGGCTGACAGGCTAGTAGAGGACCTGTTGGTTGCACCATTCGTTTGTATGTTTCACAGGGTTTTTGAAGTTGGATTTTGATGCATTGAGAGCCATCTCTCTTTTGTCGGCTGATGGAAGGCTATTTGATCTTGGAATCCAGGGCCATTGCTTTCAGCCTGCTGCTTTATGAAATTTTATTTCATATTCATCATGTGTTTAGCTGTGAACTGTTTATGCTACCATTTGTTCTGGTCGTAAATCTGATCCTAAAACCTTATGTAAAAACTCTAAAACCCTGTAAACCATAACAACCTTAATCCTAAATCCTAAAACTTAAACTCTTCTTCCCATGTTCATGGGCCATTCTGCATGCCATTTTGAGGCATGGTTATGTAATGATTCTTATTATCCTATCCTTTTCGCCTCTTCTTGACTGTGCTGCATGTTTTCTTCTTTTGAATCCTTTTCTCAAGATCCTTCCCTTCGTCAAAAGAAATTTCGTCATCCCAAAACTTTTCATACTTGGATAGAACCATAGCAATCTATGGATCTTTTGTCTCGTTCACAGTTTTATTAACTGACATAAGATATTCCCACACACCCTACCACACCCACCCCCCACCCCATCCCCACTCTCACCCCCACCCCCAGACCAAATCTGTGTGTGTGTGTGTGTGTATTTTGCTTATCCAACTAAAGGAGTTGAAGGGATATGAAAGTTTTTGCTTTTCTTTTCCAGAACTCACGACAAGGGTCGGAATTTCTTAAGCCAGGTGTTTCTTTGGAAGAGTCAATCACTAGAAGTGGTCAGATGATACCGCCACCAAAGAAATTGGTGCAGTTAGAGACCAATGGAATGCCACCCCCTCCTCCTAAGTCAATGCCGCCTCCTCCTCCCAAATTCATGCCTCCCCCTCCGGAAAAAGAAGTTGTGACCTCTGTGTCCAGGCCTGCGGGAGGCAACTCAGTTATTGCAGGTTAGGATCACTACAAAGTAAATTATGTTCTTTCTTCTTTTAGTAACCGTAAAAGTTGGTTGTGTTCTTCCTCATTCCCCATGTTGATATTAAATGTTTATTTAGATTATGTCGCATTTTGGATTTGCAACCGAGCTCTCAGTTACCGTGTTTCCCTTTTTCCTTCACTTGATTAAGTGAAAGATGGGCATATTTTCATTCAATTCGGGAGCTGAAAGGTGAAATGTTTCCAAATATCATCATTTATGTTACAGAAATAGAGAAATAGAGTCAGGGTTCAGAATTCTTTTGAGAGGGATCTTGCTTTTCATTCTTTTTGTTTCTCAAAATATTTCCTGTTTCTTTTTGGATTTCTTTCCTGAAATTCGGTGCTGAAATGTGCGTCAAGTTTTCCTTATAAACCATACGCGCTTTTTCACACATGCCTCTATAGGGAGGTATAGGTCGATATACGTTTGGATACATAAATATAGATATTTAGTTGGATAGATAATACAAAGTATTTCGACTTCTTCAGAACCTTCACTCAAGCTCGTTGAGTATGGCGAAGAGGATGAAGATGATGAAGTTGCAGAAAAACCACCAATACCCAGTTCCACGAAGCCTCCATCCTCAAAACCATTCTGGGCCCTATAACCTTGGAAAGGATATTTAGTCATAAAGAAGAGCAAAAAGTTGAAGCAACTATGGTGTTTGTCTAAAGTATGGAAAGGTTGGCCAATTATTTTGTTCGTGACTATTGAATTAATTGTTTCCCTGCCTGATTTGTAAACCTCAAGAAAAAGCTCAGACTACTGTATTTCAGAGAAATTTTGGCGAAATTTCAGAGAAAAAGCTCAGACTACTGTATTTTCAGAGAGAAATTTTGGCAACCACAGTTTGAGACCGTAAGAAATTAGGGTTCCATGAATGTTGAGGTTTAAGATTTGGAGCTGTTAATATAGACAAGTGATGGTTTTGGATGGTGGGTTCAGCTTCTATAGAGCTGGCCATTCTGTTTTGTTGGGTGTAAGCTAAGTCTTGCTTCTAGGGTTTTTATTTTTATTTTTATTTTTTTGTTACATGCTCTTGGGCTCTTGAACTTCTGCCATTAATGTTTTAGGGTTATGTAATTTTCTCTATTTGTGGTGGGTTGGCTCTCTCAAAACTTGTATATTATATTACTGTCTCGTAAAGCAACCAAGTTCTTCTCTTATATTTTCATTTCACCCTTCTCTAATATTTTCTTTTTCCTTGGAACGCTCTCTCTCTCTCTCTCTCTCTCTCTCTCTAGATAATATACTGAACAAACATGCATTCTTGGATGAGCCTAAAAATTCACTGATTTCTAGGACAGTTTTATTTGTGTTGTCCAAAAAGAACAGAAGAAAATACTCTTCATGTGAGGGAGGACATAGTATATGAAATAGATGTGAGCAGAAAATACTCATTCATTCAACCCAGCTCTCAGTTACCGTTTTACCTCTGTTTGATTGGTAGATGCAATAGATGAATAAGGGATGAGAGAGAAGGCTTTTCATGGGGTAAATTTCCAAGTTCACCAGTGAGATGGCTTCGAGGGCAGCCCTCGTATTATGACAGTACCCCTAATTGAACCAAGGACTTGAATGTGGGTTCCACTCACATGCATTTGTCTCTTTTTGAAATGAATTCACACTAGGTTTCTCTCTCTAACTATAAATACTGTTTAAACTCTGAACCGAAAAGACTTTCTACTACAGTGGAGTGGATGATACTATCTTTTCCTCCCTCGGGAAAAGTCCATGGATACTTTTTAGATCTCCAATTATTGGATGTAACCTTTGTAACCCATGGAATAATCTCGGCAAAGAAAATTAATAATAATCTCAAATTATCTTGCTATGTACTAAAAAAACTTATGCCTCGAAACTGAATGGAGAGTCTAAATTTTGAAGGATAAGGCTTAAAAATTCTCCTAAGTTGGCATTTTGAGGGAGGCTGGAGATGCATAATATGCTCCTCCAGGAGTATACTGTATGCGCTGAACTCTAAATAGGGCGACCTATTCTAGTTAGGTCAGCAGTAAGTACACTGCAGGTGTGGTGAGTAGTGACGTTGAGTGACAAAATGTTAACTTCTGATTTGTTACTACATTTTGATTCAGACTTAAAAAGCTTTTGTAAATGAAAATGGTGTACTCCATTCCCTGGAGAGAGCCGGCTCGGCCAGTCCCAAGTTGACTCGACGAGTCTAATTTTGAAGCCTACACGGACACGATCGAATTTCGGTGACTTGACTAACCATAGGCGAGACTCGTGTCATCCAAGTATCGCTGTTCTATAATTGGTATGGTATAGGTTCCGAGTAACTTGAGCCGCGTCCAAAGAAGACATGCCGAGTTCTTGAATACAGTCTAAAATAGGAGCGAGGGACCTTAGCATGGGAGAATACAATGTACAATTCCAAAAGAATTGTTTAGGATCTGAACAGGGTGTATATTTGGTGGCGTCCTCTACACAAGCATGGTTTGAAAGAGAGGACACAAAGTAGTACCAGTAGGGCTGGCCATGGGCCCAGTCAGCTCGCCTTAAAAAGTTAGTCTTGGGCTACGAAATATGGCCCAAGTGCAAGGCTACGCCAGCCAGCTGGGCCCTCTTTTCCACTTTTTTTTTTTTTTTGGCTTTTGTTTACCATCATTGTAGTTGTCGTGCAAGGGAGGGCTAGAGCGGACTCAAGATAAAGGAGTATGTTGTCCATCGAATCTGATATAAGGGTGGTGACCTTAAATTTTTTCTCAAATAAAAGGGCTGGGTTGTGTTAAGTAGCCAGTCAACATAAAATTTTGTTAAAACTCATTATAAATCGTGAAACCTTATAGCCTTACTGAGTGTATGATCTTAAATAGAGTAGAATGACAAAACATGATTCATATAACCAATCTAATTAATTAAAAAAAAGACTATAATGATGATGTATTCTATCAAGACACACAATGTAAACTTGATAGAAGTAAACTTGATAGAGAGAAAATAAGAGCTTTCAGGTCCAAAGAATGTAGTCGACTATGAGAGAGAAAATAAACTATTCGTGGATGCGAACCTAGGATATTTAGTGTGGCCCTTGCATCAATGGAGGAGATCATCTCTCTCTTATGTGGTCCACTCATTTTGTAACTAATGTAAGGGAAATGCAGTCACTTCCTCTCTAACGTTCTAAACAAACGTACCCGTGGGTTTATTTTATAGAGGCAAGCGTGTGAAGTAAGTCCACAAGGGAGTTAGGAGAGCACATTTTGTGTGCTCTAATCAAACCTCCTTCACATTCTCTTTAGTACCGTGATTATGTCTATCATCTTTTATGGGGAAAAATGTTAACGGTAAAAAAAAACAACATATCTATAAAATGAGTCTAGTGGAGATAAGGATATTAAGATGGATGAGTGACAAGATAAAAAAGGATAGAATTCAACATGAATATGTTAAAAAAAACTTTAAGTGTGACACCATAAGATGAGGGAGAACAGAATTAGGTGGGTACGGTGTAGACCTGATGCAGTACCTATTAGGAGGTGCGAATTTGTTTAAGTGAAAGGCCCAAAAAGGGCAAGGGGTAAGCCCAAAAAGTTATGATTAGAAGTATTGAGAAAAAATATAAAGACTTACGACCTTGCTAAAGGTATGACCTTTAATAGAGTAGAATGACGGACCGGGATTTATATAGCCAAGCCCAATTAGTTGGAAAAATGTTTTGACAATGATGGAAATTTTGCGATAAAAATTATGGCTACTTTTAAAAGGTGGAGTTTCTATAGGGCTAAGCTTTATGAAAAGCAGAAAGTAAAGCTCCACCTCGAAACCTTTGAAAAACATTTTGGACATTATAGGGGCTCCAGCACTATCTAAAGTAGTCCGGCAGTAGGGCTCTAGCATTGTGTAAAGTGTGGTCCGGCAGTAGGGCTTTGGCACTGTGTAAAGTATGGTCCGGCAGTCGGACTCCAGCACTGTATAAAGTGCAATCCAGTAGTAAGGCTCCGACACTGTGTAAAGTGTGGTCCGGCAGTTGCAAAAGGCAGTCCGGTAGTCGCAAAGGGCGATCTGGCAGTAGTTATTACTGGATTCCAGGACACCGACACTATGTAAAGGGCGGTCCGGTAGTTGTCTTAGAGTGGTCTCACAGTGGTGCGCTCCGGCAATGTGATGGTGCGCTCTATTGGGGTCCAAAGTCAACTTCAAATCTAACCAAAATGATTTTTATGTACTAAAAAGGTATTTCTGTTAAAAAAAATGAATGTTTTCCCTTGGAGTGTATTTGCATAGAAAGTTTGTTTTGGTAAAAAAAAGTGTGAGAAAATGTTAAGTTTAGTGTAAGTTATATAGAAAGTGTGGTCTTGCGGGTTTTTTTCTGTAATTTTTCCAATTTTTTTCATAGCAATAATGGTCAAGGTTGAGAACCAAGATGATCGATTTGTAAGTTCTCTAATACCCGAACACAATTTTAGTAAGTTTTAAGATGAGGCTTTATTTCTTTAATAAAATCTAAGCCTTTTTTAACCATTTTTTCTTTTTAAAAGGATTTTTAGAATTTAGAACTCACCTCCCAAATTGAACAGTGCATATTCAATCTTTGAATATGGTTTTCACCTCCCAAATTGAACAGTGCATATTCAATCTTTGAATATGGTTTTCTCAGACATAAAAAGTGCGATTTGATGACGCTAATTCCCCAAATTTGGAGTCCTAAATAAAACCCCTAAATTGGTTTACCCCCCCCCCCCCCCCCCCGGAAAAAACACTGCATGGTCCAATGGGTATTATTTATTACACAACAGTGACTATATTAAAAAAAAAAACCAAACCAAAGAACTTCCTTTTGAAGCCAACCTTCAAAAACCAAACAATGCCTTGTTGAATGTCGTGGTCCCCAATGCCTCAAAAACCGTTCTGTTCTTTGCATCAAACCCTAAAACTTTTTTCTTCCATTTTTAATGCAAAAGAGGGAAAAGAAAAATAGTAATAAGAATAACCATCATTTTCCTTCTATTTTAAATCACAAAAAAGCCCCAAATAAAAATAAAAAATAAAAAATAAAGAAGGGAAAGGCATGGCAATAAATAATAAATGAACCAAAATGGGCCTACCTCAAGGTGCCCTTACAAAATATCTACACTAAATACAAAATATAACCTCCCCCTATCTCTCTCTTAATTTTCACTCTAGGAAATTTCTGTCGCCAACCTATTTGTCTCTCTTAATTTTCTCTCACTAGTAAATTTCTGTCCTAGATAATAGGGCATTGGGCCTTGCTCCACCGAGCTTTTGGATCCACAGCTTTCTTTGGGCTTGAAATGATCGAGTTATCTTAATGTCAATGCTCTCTGTCTCTCTAAGCATTGGAGTGGGTTATCTCCATGGTCATCAGCAGGCAAGTGCATTGTCTCCACCATTAAAGTCCCTGTCTTTCTCTCTCCTTCTTGAATCTTTCTTTCAGGTAAGAAATGGTCCATTTTTAGTGGTTTAACACTCTCCTTCCCTCTCTGCTTTGCACCCCAAATACCCATCTCCCTAAATCTTTGGGAAAGATAAAAATTTTGGTTCACTCTTCTATTGGGTCCCTGGTTTTAATGTGGCTAGAAAGCCTTGGTGTTCTTATCTTTGTAGTTTTTGTGAAATGGGTTTTGGGTTTTGAAAGAGAGGTATGGATATATGGGTTGTTTTAGCAGCTGCTGGTACTGGTTATCTCTCTAACTTTTGGCAAAACGTGAATAAAGAGAGAGAAACACCATATGCTCCATCTCCAGGTAGATTTATTTAGGCTGATTGAATACAGAGAGAAAATTCTAGGCATTTGGATTCGACCCACCTTAGGGAAAACCATTGTGGGAATTATAGGAAGAGAAAAGAATTTCGGAGCCGACATCTTGAGAAACGAGCAATCTCAGGAACGCAGTGTGTAAGTGGTTTTTCCTCTACTGAAAATTCGAGCGGTCAAGAATGTGAAGATATTAATGTTTGTTCAATGGCTTCAACCAGTGGCAATGATCCTGAAACCCAAGTGGGTTGTAGAGAGAGAAAGGGTTTTCTGTTGTTGGGTTTGCAGACAAAGTTCTGCAAGAAGGAAACTGGGTCTGTTGGTAAATTGTTTTCAGATTCAAATGAAGAGAGAAGTTTAATTTTGCCTGAATTTTCACCTAGAGAAGTTGATTTTAGGAGCAAGTCCTGCAAAACTAGGGAGTTTCATTGTAGGCAAAGGTCGTGGAGGGCTCCTGTGAAGCCTGTGAATGCTCTCGAGAGTTGTCTTATTGCTCAGTTATGTAGAGAGAGAGAGGAAATGGGAGAATTTGGGTTCACTCCTCTGCCATCTCCATATTTAAGGGTGACAAGACCAGCTCTTATAAGCGATGGTTGTAGAAGCAGTGAGAATAGTAATAATCCAGCAGCTTCTCAATTTCAAAGCTTAGAACATAAAATGCAAGAGGAAGATGGGACAATAGCAAAAGGAAATGAAAGTGTAATGGGAATTCCTCCGTTAAAAAAAGTAATGGGAATTCCTCCTCTATCTAAGCCAGAGTTGAGAGAGAACCATATCACAAGGAAGCGTCAAAAAGGAAAGAGGCGGTTTGGAAGATTCAAAGCTTCGAATGATAGACCCGCAAGTAAAAATCTCCATTCACTAGGTAATGATATCAGCTTTCATTGTTAACTTGCCATATTCTTTTTTGTTGTTATTTGTTTGTTTAGTTTGATAATAATTTCTTATGAACATTTGCTTCGTATTTCGGCCTTTACTCCCCTGCAATTACACTCTATGTTGACAACCTATCTGTGTCTGCTTATAAGAATAGAAATATGAGTAACTTTATCAAAATGCAGAGTATATAATCCTATGAAACCAGGAAGAACGATAATTGATCTTCATTGTTGAAGGAACCATGTATTTGACAAAATTGGTCTTGTTGGAAATTAACCTTAAAAGTCCACATTTGATGAAAAGTTCAGCTTAGTCGATTGATGTGAAAGACTATAAGTTGGATTAAGCTTTTGCTTTGATTAAAATACACTTTATATATTTGGCCAACATTAAAACTCCGATGCTTACAGATGAATTTAGCATTAGACATAGAATTAAGGTTTTATTACTCTCTTTGTATGAAGTAAACTCTAATTTTTGTATAGTTCCTTGGGCCCAGAGAACTTGTACATGGTACCAACTACCATGCTCTAATTTATGTATTGACACTTGATGCAGAGAAGTAGAGATTTGTTTTTTTTGGGGTTTGAATCAACCCTATAATGCATATGTCGAAATAAGGAAGGAAAACCCTTGAAAAGAATTCCAAGAATTAGCATGAGGCAAGAGCCAAGAGGTAGGGACAAAGGGCTAAAGTCCAACCCCATTCTTTTTTCATTCAAAAACCATTTCAAATTTAGATTCCCTCCCGTCTATTCTCCTCCCCCCCCACCAAAATAATAATAATAATAATAATAATAATAAGAGTAATGATCCTATGAGACCCTCCCACAGCCATGTGCGTAGAACCCCAAAGGATCACCATTAATTTTGGTACAGATCTTTAGAAAAGTTATCATATGGGTGTGGGACTTGACTTTTCTAGAGATCTATGCCAAATTTAATGGTGATCCTTTGGGGTCCTACACACATGGGTGTGGGAGGGTCTCAAAAGGTCATTTCCCTAATATTAATAATAATAGTAAAATAAATAAAAGACAGTTAAAAAAGAAAATATTTCTCTCCTTTAGCTGATAATCGACTCTTGATAGGAAAATATTGATAATTGAGAGAATGCATGCGCTGCTTATACATTTATTGGGTAAGGGCTTTGATCATCTCCTGGGCTACAGCCAGAAAAGAGTTTTAGGAATACTCAGTTGTGGAATTTGGAAATAAATAGTGTGGAGCAGGCCTAACCGGATAAGAATGATCCTTGGGAAAAATGGACACCACCTGAGGAAGGGACAATAAAATTGAAATTTGAATGCCTACATATGCCTAGTGTTCATCGATGCCACCGTAGAGGATGTTGAATGCCTATGTATGTTCCTGAGGTGTTTTGAGTATGCCACGGGTTTCAAAGTAAATATGGAAAAGTCCACTATGATAGGGTCTCACTCTCACCTTTGGAAACTAGAGCCTTGATTCCAGATTGGAAGTGTAAGGTGGAGGATCTCCCAACCAGCTATCTGGGGATGCCTCTGGGAATTGGTAAGCCCAAGAAGAGACAATGGTGAATGTCATTGATAGAGTTGACTGTTGGTTAGCCGGATGGAAGGGGAGGTACCTGTCTTTTGTGGGAAGAAATACTTTCATTAAAGCAACCCTCTCCAACACCCCTATCTATGTCTCTCTTTCATATGTCTGCAACAGTGGCCAATCGACTGGAGCAGCTGATGGGGAACTTCCTTTGGTCAAGGGATTTCGAGTTAAAAAGATCCACCTCATATCATGGGACAGGGTATGCCAACCTAAACATCAAGGAGGTTTAGGGATCCGCCTTCTGAGGAAATAGAACACGGCTCTGTTAGGAAAATGGTGGTGGAGACTGGCGAACAATTCAAACCTGCTTTGGACACAAGGGCTTCGCTATAAGTATAGAATCCCCATTGATGCCTGGCTGCCGAAGGGCAGAACCCTGAGTAGGTCTTTTGGGGCCTGGAAATCTTTCTTGTCAGCTCTTTTTAAATTTAAACAGTTCATTCGGTTCCACCCGAGGGTTGGTAGTAGGGTTCGATTCTGGTCCAACCTTTGGTTGGGCCATACTCTTCTTAGGGATCAATATCCCTCTTTGTTTTCTCTTTCCACAATCCTTCTTCCTGGATTTCGGAAGAACTATCGATAGCTGGAAATACTAGGGTTTGGAACTTGTCTTTTAGATGCTTTCTCTCTGACGCCGAACTACTTGATTTTATATCCCTCTCTGCCCAGCTTCATGATACTTTCATTGCCCTCTTTGGTACGGATTGTATCGTCTAGACCCCGGCTCCTTCGGGTTCCTTCTCGGTTTCTTCTTTCTATAATACCTTGCTTCAACTCATAGACCACCCCAACTCAGTGGTGTCCAAGGTTTGGTCCTCGATAGCACCCCCGAAAGTGTAGGCTTTCAACTGGATCGCAGGTTCTGAAAGAGCGCTAACTGTGGACCAACTCCAACGCAGGGGGATTCCTATCCCGAATAGATGCGTCATGTGCCTTAGCGAAGAAGAGGACAACTCTCACCTCTTCATCCACTACGACTTGGCTTATAACCTGTGGAGCAGGCTCTTGCAGCTTTTTGGCTTGACCTGGGTGATGCTCGCCTCCATCCCTGCCCTCTTCAAATTCGCCGAGGACTCCCCTTGGCCCAAAGCTGGCAAGCTGCTTTGGAAGGCGTCCATAGCAGCCATGATATGGGTCCTGTGGATAGAAGTGGAGTCAAATGTGAAACCTCTGCTTTATTTCACTAGATTCACACTCTTGTGATCTTTTGGGCCTCTAATCACAAAGTCTTCAGGGACATCTCTTCTTCCTCCGTACTTTTGAACTGGTAGTAGGTTCTCATGGTTCAACACCGTCAGCCCAGCACGACATGGTGGTTGGGCCTCTCCCGCACCTGGTTCAGTCAAGTTTAATTTTGACGGGTGTTCCCTTGGGAATCCTGGCCCCTCTGGTATAGGTGGGGTGTTTAGAGATCACCAGGGGAACATCCTAGCACCCTTTTTCAAACATATCGGCCATGCTGACTCACAGCTTGTTGAATCTCTGGCTCTGCTAACGGGCCTCAAGATGTTCGACCTTGAGTGGGGTCTACCTCTCCTAGTGGAAGGGGATGGCTGCAATATTATTTCTTGGGCTGCTGGTCTTGGTACACCACCCTGGTACCTTGCTTCCATTTATGACGAGATCTTCCACCTTTGCAAAGCTACAGTCGTCTCATGGACGCATATTTTGAGGGAATCAAATGACCTGGCAGACCACCTAGCTAAGGCAGGAGCGATCGCACAAGTCGTGGCCACTTTATACTTTTGGGTTCCTAGATTACAAGGCTGCGACTATCTTTTTGTCTCTTTATGACGAGATCTTTACCCACTTTTGGTTCTACATCTCTCTACAACCCCTATTTTTGCCTTTTTGGTACATCATTGTAAAGTGTGTTGCTATTAGACCCTCATTTTTGGTACAGGACCTCTTCTTTGAGGATTCCTCATTTTTTTGGCTGAGAGGCCCTGCTTGTAGGCGCTCTCTTTGGACTTATGTATTACGTTTCTTATTAAATACAACATTAACTTTATCAAAAAAAAAAAAATGAATTGAAATTTGATGGAAGTCCAAAAGGAAGCCTAGTATGTGCTGCTCTTGTAAGAGTATTTCACAACGAGCTAGAAAAAGGTTTTAGGTTCTACTCATTATCACCTACAAGGTACTGTACATACAAAGCTGAAGCATGGGCTCGAAGTGTGGGACTGAGAAATAGATATCCTGAGTGGAGGAACATACAAATTGAGGAAGACTGAGTTTCAATGGACCTTAACAAACCTTTTATCTCTTTTTGAAATATTTGAGTTGACCAGGGATCTTAATGTCTCTTTCAAACATCCGAGTAGATAAACATGTGCGGTTGTTGATCAGCTAGCAAGTGATGATGTCTTGAAGACTTCATATCGCAGTCACCTTTTTGTAAAGATAATAGGTGATACATGAAGTAGAGTCCAGTTTTGTGCATGTCGTTGCAAATACACGTAATTTTGTGTTTTATATTAATGAAACATTTTATTAATTAAAGAAGTTAACTTTTGGTGAAAATTTTATTTTTTAATTAATGAAATTAATCTTCAAGATTACTTTCAATATAAGTGTGTGTATTTACAGGGTCGGTGTCTGTGGAGTGGGTGATCAATCTTGATCATAGGAAATTTTCTGCCCATTCCTTCCCAACCCGTTCCCACTTTAGATTTCCTTAGCTTTCTCAAATAAGTATTGAGCTTTGCAAGAAAACTAATATTTGATCATAATTAATTGCACATGTTACATGAAAAGATAAAACTCAAAAGAAGACTATTGGAACTGATGGGTAAAGCTTAAGACACCATGTGGCTCTAACAAGTGCTAAAGTGACAAAGATCTATCAAAAGTTCTTGGTTATTTTGGTAAAGATAGTGATCCTTAAAATGTATGGCAGTATATTGGTTATTTTGGTAAAGAATTTTACTAGAACCTCTTTCGAAAAAAAGGTATTTAAAGTGATGCATATACCAATTGCAGTATACTGTATACTGTGTACAAAGTTGGAGAGGGCCTTCCTGAAAGAAGAAGCTGCTCAGTCAAAAAGGAGCATAAATGTTGGAGGTGGTGTCACACGTCAGGGTGGATTGAGCACTATAGGTGTGCTAAGAGTCCCCTGTTTAACCAAGCTATCTGCTATGCTATTGGCCTCTTGATGAGTATGATAAAAAGTAATGTTAAGTGGGGCATTTATCAGAAAAATCTCTTCAAAGATCAGATCCTGTCTCCATGGGCAAGTAGAGACACCATTGGTGCAATTGATGGTACTTCTCAAATCCCCTTTGATGAACAACAAGTTCACCAACTTCTATTGAAGAGCTTGAAGCCTTGTAAGACGGTGCGTGCCTCTGCCATTGATGAAGTTGCATTGCAAATGGTCCCTATAAAGGATAAAATTGAGGTTTCCCTAGCTATCACTGAATATTCCTCCCACGCCTGCCCAGCCTGGGTTTCCAAATGAACACCCATCAATTTTAACTTGATGGTGCCTAGTTCTGGCGATTGCCAGCAGATGACCTAGTGTTGAGATTCTACCAGATCTGGCTATAATGTCGCAGTTTAGTAGGAAATTGAGGTCTTCTAAGATTTGAAACCATTAGGTTGTCTTGCCCACAATCACCACTGTTTTGATGTTCTCCTTAACATAGAATAATCATTACCTAGCCTTCAGAGGTCATCCTGTTACGTTTTATCCATACATTCCACAACAAAGCAAGAATTGAGGCCCTCCAAAGTATTAGTCCTGCCTTTTCGTCCCCGAGGAGGAGGGGTGAGAAATATGCCCAGAAGTGTTGGTCAATAGTACACTACCCATTCTGCCCCAAATGTTTGCAAACATTGGCTTCACAGCAGGGTGAGGAAAAGGTTGTCTAACCTCAATATCTTTGCGAAGGATGCATCGATTGGGCGTGGTAAAGCCACGCTTTCGTAATTTTTGTAACTGGTCCAAAGGATCTTTCTTCATATGGCTAGCCATCCAAACAGCTGGATCTATACTTGGTGTTCACCCAACAATTCTATAACCTCGGCAAGGGAGAATGGATAGTTAGAGTGTAGCGAGAATAAAGATGGGAGCTGATCAACAATGCTCGAACTCTATCGCCAGTTTCTGGTAACAAGCGAATCTTGGTAGCGAAGGGAGAGTATGCCGAGAATGCCCCTTTCCATGCTGCAGACGTCCAGGGCTTGGCGTGGCCTTTGGCAACCAACCATACTCATGTGATCTATATTTTTGATGGATGACCTTCCTTCAAAGTGTCACAAAGTGCCAAATCCACTTGCCTAACATGGCAGTATTCTTGTCTTTAATCAATCTATACCCAAATCTCCTGCTTTCTGGGGTTGCATACAGTGGACTGGTTAACCAGATGCATTGTTTGGCTAGATGGGCCCCCGACCATTGGAAGTTGCTCATCATTTTCTATAATCTATTAACTATCGACATTGGCATTTGATAGAGGGATAGCTTAAAGATTGGGATGCTAAAAAAGGGTGGGTTTGATAAGTGTAACTCTCCCACCCAAAGATCATAAGTGCCCTCTCCAGGAGGCTAATCAAACCCTCCAATTACGCCATTCCACTGGTGTATTCTACGTTTTCCTGTGCACAAAGTTAATCCAGGGTATTTGCTTGACGACAATTCTACGCCACAAACCAGTCTGGCAGCCAACCTCATATTAGTTTCCACCCCAAATTTCAATACCCATGAGTTTGTTTTTTGCATGTTGATTTTGAGACCAGTTGCAAATTCAAAGCACCTGAGAAACACCCAAATTTTGTCAACCTGCTTGGGAGAGGCTTTGCAGAAGACCAAAGTATCATCAGTGTACTGTAAGTGGGATCGATGGGCCTCTATTTTAGGAATTGACACCTCGGATCAAGTTCTGATCAAAATTGATCTGCTGAAAATTTTTGGCAACTATAGTAAAGAGAAAGGGTGATAAGGGGTGTCCTTGGAGCTGCCCTCTGGAGACCTGTAAGTAGCCTATGGGACTGCCATTAATCAAGACTGAGAATATGTGGGGAGGCACCCTGAGATCCTTGATTGGCTTTCATGGCTTTAGGTCTTGCTCTTGGAGGGTAATTAAGCATGGGATTTGAACCTGGAATCTATGTTTGCAATTGTAATTTTAGACCAGTGAATCTTTCATGTCATGGCATTAGCTTAGGGACTTGCTTGGTCTTTCATGAATTTATTCATTAATCAGTTACTTTTCTAACTCAAGAAAATTGTAAATGCCTTGTTTATTTTGCTTCCAACTGCTTTATCCTTTCCCACTTGTGAGAACTAGTCTTAAAATTATTTCACTACAACCCAATCGATAAACGCTACAAAAAAAGCGTGTTTCTACAATTTGTTCCGTGCTCCATAACTGGCATTGGTCTTTTCTGACAAAATTGTCATGGCAGGATCAAGTGATGGATGGCTTCTCTTTTGTTGTGGGATTGTTGTTGGTGTGATGTCCACTATGTTTTCAACTAAGAAAGAGGTGGACAAGTTAAATGAGTTGCTGAAGCAGAGTGAGAACTTAGTTCAAGATTTAGAAGAAGAGTTGGAGATGAAAGATTCAATGACTTTGAAGGAGCTAACAAGTGATGCATTTCCATATCAAGAAAACAATGATTCTTCTGTAAATCAGAGACCATCAACTTCTCTCGCTGATCAGAAACCAGATCAATCTTGCTCCAATGAGAAAGAATTAGATTTTCAGAAGAGGGAGGAGCATGCCGAATTAGATTTTCAGAAGAGGGAGGAGCATACCAACTATATGAGCAAAATAGAGGCAGAGCTTGAGGCGGAACTGGAGAGACTGGAATTAAACATAAATACATCTGCCCATCAAAGAAGATTTTCTGGCCCTAATGAGGTAAGTTAAATTTTTATTAGGATTTAAATTTCGTTAAGCATGAACAGCTAATAAAATTTTCAACTACGCATGTGATATTGAGTGTTTTGCATGTCTTAGGAAAAATCAACAACATTTATTTTCTGCCAAAAGAAAAATGACATTTATAGCCTCTGATCACTTTGTTTTGGCACAATTTTATTATGCACATGTTGATTATATCTCATGGATAAAAAAAATTTGGTTTTAAATAATTTTGTTCTAATTGTCTTGTTTTAAATATAATTTTATAACTTTGATATGACATGTCCTTTTGTGGACTCATATCCGTTTATGGCTTTAAAAGCGCTGAACCATTACAAAAAAATTGGTTCTAAATAATTTTGCTCTAATTGTCTTGTTTTAAATGTAATTTTATAATTTTGATATGACATGTCCTTTTGTGGAGTCGTATCCTTTTGTGGCTTTATTGTTTTGTACAAACATCACACCATGTCTATAATATTTTGGTTGCCGTGTTGTTGCCAATGTAAAACTGCTGACCACTGGAGAATGCATTCTAGCATTCAGGAAGGCGATGACCCACGTAGAAGTTGTATATAGAGCTTTTGATCCTAGACTTAAGAGGCTAGGGCAGTCCTCTGTACTAGGTTATTAATTCTCATAAACTATGTCGAGAGTATCTGAACCCATTGGGGCGAGATTGTGACACAACCGCCTTCTTGTCGTATGACATTAATTCAAGTAACATACGTCTTTTGGAGTATCTCCTTCAGATTTTGAGTCCTTTGCCTTCTGATTTCTGTTATCTACAACTAGTTTGAGTCTGTTGGGCTGCACTTGGTGCATTAGTCTATGAGTTTGAAGGACTAAGTCGATATTTGAGATGAAAATATTAATGGTAAGGTTATATATTGGGAAAATTGCATATACCCCTCCAAAGTAGACTTTCTAGACAACCCCCCCCCCCCAACGAAACTTTTTTTCGCAACTTTTACCCAAAAACCAAGTTTATAGTAAATACCCCCCCAGTCAAAAAGTCATATTTTTTTGGACAAAAATGCACCTATCACCCCCAAGTGTCCCACAACCCCACGCACTATCTCTCGTCTATTGGTCTAGCGTTCACCTATCTCGGTCCGGCATCTCAACATGATTTGTCTACGGTCCAGCACTCTAACCAAGGGGTCTGGCAACTTGTTCAAATAGTCCGGCACATCCATGTTTCGGTCCGACAGTTGTGGCTTGATCCGTCTTCACGCGGTCTAGCACTTTTCTCTCGGTCCGTGAAGCCGGCAGTATCATGCAATGGGTCCGACAATGTGCAGCCTCATTCCGGCAATACCATGTAGTAGGGTTCGGCAACCTTGTCCTCTTCAATGTCTAACCAAACATGATTTCTTAAGCACGGGAAAGGGCATTTTTGTCCAAAAAATGACTTTTTGCCTTGGGGGGGGGTATTTGGTACAAAACAGAGTTTAGGGGTAGAAGGTGCGAAAAAAAGCTTGGTTGGGGGGAGATTGTCTAGAAAGTTTACTTTGGAGGTGATCTACAATTTTCCCAGACGTATAACCAACCTTTTCTTGTAGCCAATTTGATTGTCAGATTATGTTGCAATTGGGGAAATGAATTGGGAATCTTATTTGCTTGCCCTTGTTAGATGGAATAAAGCAGTAGCTACTTCAGTGTTTCAAAAAGCGCTAGGCGGCTCTTAGGCGGGCGCCCTGAGTGGCCCAGTAGAAATATTTTTTTTTTGGGTTCTCTCTAAAATAGCCTCTGATGGGTTTTAAGTTTCACGTGAACCTAAAACCGACAATTTTACCTCTTTAGTATTAAAAAAATGACTCAAAAATACTCTCAAGGAGCCGTAGTTCCCCCCCTGGGTGGGCACAGGCCCTGGGCGGCCGCCTAGGTGGGTTCAGGCGGGCGCTCAGGGATATCCGCCTAGGCGGTCCGCTTTTTGAAACAATGAGCTAGTTGCAAGCTTCTATTACCTCATTACATGTGGATTCAAGCTAGTGACCGTTGAGGTTCGAATCGTCACATGGATAGTTTTAACCAATGTTTCAAATACCCAGGATCAGGTCCCAAATCAGCCTACGATGATCCAAATTGGCGGTTCTGAATTGGATTGGCCGATTCTCAAGCGTCTTAAAACCTTAAAACATGAAAGGTATTAAAAAATTAAATTGGGCGACAATCGCCTTCTGACTAGGATCACTGATTCTTTTGAAAGAATGTTATTGTTTTGTGACAGAACCTGGCGAACCGATTCCCTATTCTGTAAAGAAATTGGTTTGGTCCTCTACTGAACCCAATCCGGATTGCCGATTTCCAATGTGGTTGACTTCTTTGAAAGCACGTTTAAGAATAAATGCTGAAGGCATAGTCACAGGGTTCCAACATTAAGAAAAAGTTACCTTATAACGTGGAGTGAAACAGAGATGATCACTAAAAATCTATTTTTATTTGTCGTCATTTTGCAGTATTTTGCACTTCTGGCCACCTGTATTGAGAGAGAGAGAGAGAGAGAGAGAGAGATGGCACTTTCTGGATTCAAGAAATTGCGTCACTTGATGTATGTAGCCGCATTCTCCAGTCAAGAAATTGTTTTTTTGAGGGACTTCTCCATTTAAGATATTGCACCAGTTAATGGAGAGAGAGAGAGATGGTCGCTTTGTGCATTCAAGAAATTGCATCACTTTTGTATGTGGCCACACTCCTGTTGTTTTTGTCTGAGGGAATCCTCCATTCATGAAATCCAACACTTAATGTATGTGTCCATGTAATATCTTCCCTCTTCAGCATTTGTGTCATGCTATGATTTTAAATATTGCATAAACTTCTCTTCTGATGCAGCTTGATCCAGATTGTATGGCAGATATTGTCCATGGAGAACTACGAGCTGACATGGTTGGTGGTGGTGGAGACACAACTGACTCTAACCGTGATGGCACTCAGTCGGTCACCCCACCACCCCAGTCTCTGTGTCATGCAGTTTCTCCACGTGAACTCAGCGTACGCCTACACCAAGTCATACAATCAAGGCTTGAACAGAGAATCGTAGAGCTAGAAACAGCTCTTGAGCTCAGCCAAAAGAGGCTTCAGAGCCTAGAAAATGATCGCCCAGAGATAGACGTATCTTTTGGTCAGAAGTTATTCTCCAGTAGCGAGGTTTCGTCCACGCAAGAGAGCCCTACATGGAACTACCAAGGCCAATTTGATCAGCTAAGAGATAGATACGATCCAATTAGCATTAATAATCCTGAGAAAACCAGAGAAACAGATATGTGGGCTTCAAAGGGAGCAGATAGTGGTTTTGAGGCATACGAGGAGTTTGTCAACATGGGCATAACACAGGTAGAAAATGGCGAGGGAGAATTGAAGAGCACAAAAGATGGAGAGATAGAAGGGACCCATCTCGGAAGGAGCACTAGAGATGATGAGGAAGAAGAAATCCATTTCTTAGAAGGCACAACAGGTGAGGAGGAAGAAGAAATCCATATCTTAGAGGGCACAACAGGTGATGAGAATGAAGAAACCTATTTCTTAAATATCCGAGGAGATGGGGACAGCAAAGAAACTCATTTTTTAAAGGCCATGAAAGATCAGAGAGAAGAGACCAATTGGTTAAAGTGTGTAAAAGACGAAAGAGAAGAAATCCATTTCTCCCAATTTAGACAGGGATTAAATGGAGATGGGATTCCGTGCCCGAAAAGGATCTCAATTGATGTGAAAGGATTGGTTCAAGAGAAGATAAAGACATGGGAAAAGGTTAAGACAGGGAGTTGCAGTGGAAGATCTGATGAAGGGTCCAGTGATAGTGAGGAAGACGAGGTGAGCAAGCTCTTGATCCAACACATTGTGGAAAGAGCAAAAAGGGGTTCACCAGCTCTGCATAATGCTCAGAAGATACTATTTTCCATGGATGAAACACTACGGAAATGAGAGCATTGGATGGGTTCGCTTATCCATCCCTACTTTGATGTGTACTTAATTTAATTTTCTTCTATAAAGTATCACCATTCATTTTTTGAAGCTTTCGCATTGTCAAAGAAAATTAAGAGAGAGAGAATATACTCCCAACAAAAAGAAAGAAGGCTCCCCAAAAGAAGAGAAACAGTTTTAGCGGAGGAAACAACCAAGTGAACATTTTCACAGCACAACAAAGGTCCTCAAATTAACATCACTGTAAGCAGACAGGTGAGACATCAAACATTTGGCGCAAAGACCTATGAGAGAGAGAGGGGGGGGGGAGAGAGATCTATGCAGACAATCATTAAAGGATGCGGTTAGCATGCAGGACAAGCCTGCACATGTAGAAAAGCGGCGCCTCTTAAAAATCTATTTTTGGAAATGAATTTTCGGACTTAATTTTTAAAAATATGTAATTTCTAACATGAAGATCGAAAAAATAAATAAATTTAAAAATAATAACTTCATTAAAAAAACATTTGAACCTTTAGTTTCCATTGTTTTTAAATGGACCACCTACTTGCTTCCATCTTTACGATGGATGCTTTATTCTTCTGGGTCGCATGTGTAGAAATGCAGTTCAGCCCGCGTGAAACAATTTTCAGTCATTAAAACATTTCAATACCAATTGTTTGCATGTTGTGCTTTACCAAAGAAAATGCACTTTTGGGGATAGAAAAATCTCAGTTTTTGAGAAGACAAATAGGAGCCAATGTTTTAAAAAGTGCTAGGCGGATTGGGGGTCGAGGCCGCCCAATGCCCAGGTGGGGCGCCCAGAACTTGGGTGGTCCAATTGAATCCAAATAAAGATTCTGCAATCCAGTTGAATCCAAATAAGTATTCTGCAGTTATTTGAGTATCAGACTATCTGTTATATCAAATTATACTACATATTAGCATTTAGTACACATTCCATAAGCATAACCATAATCCATAAGTCGGTTCATACTCCACAATCCATATCTAATTAAAACTTAAAAAATGCCAACCGACGAAATTATAAAACTATGAAATTAATACTTGAAGACTCCAAAGAATCTTCAATAGTTCAAATGTTCAATACACAATACTTCAATCAAAGTTCAAACTTCAAAGTAACAAAGTTTAATAATTATTCAACAATCAACATTCATTTATCATCAAAAAATCTTGGGTCGGCTGCATTGGCATCATATTCATCGGAGTCAATGGAGTCGTCACTCTCTTCGACATACTGTGACTCGTCTTCTTTCGTCTCTTGTGAATCTGCCTTTTCTTCCTTCTCTTCCTCCACCCTTGTTCTCTATGCAGAAGCTCTAGTGGCCCTAGGAGGGTCAACTGATGTCCTTGAAGCATCCATAACCATGTCTTATGTCAATCTTTCATGCCCTTAGACCTCATCATTATCAACTAACCACTCCATAACATTGTTCATATTTTTTGATCTGATGAGGTCTCTATTATCTCTCTTAGTAAATATGTCTTTCAAGAATCGATTGTACTTGACATAGACAAGGTCATTGAACTTCTTTGGTTCAAGCTTGTTCATTTTCTTTGTATGAATCTAACAAAATAATATGAAAGTGAACTAATTAAAATCTAATATCTATGGTTCATGTATTATTTATAAAATTATACAAATCACCCTAATGGCCTTACCCATTCAAAAGTACTCCAATTGCGCTCACAACCGGATGAAGAAGTGGTTAGGTTTAAGATCCGAATGGCTAACTTTTGTAAATTTTGAGAACTATGCCCATATTGGCTCCACCAATGGGCTGCAAAGAAATAAAAAAAAAATCATAAATACATATTAGAAATACTTGATTACTTGAACAATTGAACTTGATGAAAATGAACTTAAGAATGTTATTAATATAATAATATTTAATACCTGGATTAATTTTGGTCATTTGCCTCATCGTCATTGGACTCCCAAAAGATTTTAATGAGTACTAATAATTTATTAGCTCATCAGTGCATATAATGTCCTGCATTTCAAGATCAAGGACTAGCACATCTACACACTTATTAAATCCATCCATAATTGTATCATTTGTTGTATATCATTGTCAATATAAAACAAAGCTAGGTTCGAAAAATAACCAGTAGCATGCAATGGCCGATGCAGCTGCTTATCCCACTTATCATCAATAATCTCCCAAACAAGCTTATAGCGGGTTTCTGCATCATTGAAATTTTGAGTTATCTCACTTTTGCATTTCTCCATAGCATCATATATATAGCCCATAGAAGGCTTGCCACTATCAACCATATGAATGACTTTGATAAGAGGAAAAAATACCTTAAGAGCATCTTTCACCCCTCGCCAAAAAGCCTTAAAAAGTATAATATCTATCACCTTCTTCTCAACTTGAGCCTTAGACCACTTGTATGCCCTCCACTCATCCAAGGTAAACATTTGCCTCAAGTACACTATCCTCGAATGTATGTTATCTAGGCATAAGTACCAGGTCACAAATCTCGTGACCTTAGGCCTCATAGTCGCTTTCTTCTTTGTAAAGGTTAGGCATCATACTGAGGGTAATGTGGTGGCTATAAATGAAATTCGTAACATACTTGGCCTTCTTCACTACACCTGATATCTCGGTTAAACCGTCAAGAGCCTCAAGCATGAGGTATATACAATGTCCTGCACATGGTGTCCAAAAGATTATAGGATAAGCTATGCGCAATAAATTAGATGCAGCAACATTAGGAGCAGCATTGTCTGTAACAAGATGCTCCCCAACCTCCTTGATTCCCTTCTCTATCACTTGAAATATGTAATGGGCATCATGGATATGATCAGAGGCATCAATAGACCTCAAAAAAACAATCCCTACTGGACAATTCATAAGCAAATTCATTTGACTTCTTCTCTTCCTATCACTCTAAGCATCAGTCATAAGAGAAACCTCATACTGAGCTCAAGCATCTTTCTTAAGTTCTACAGCTTCCGTCGTGGTATTCACTGCCTTTTTTAAAAAAGGCTCTGAAAGCTCATATGGGGTTGGAGATTTCATCCCAAGGCCAAATTGGCCAATTGCCTCTACTGCAGCATAAAAGTTGCTCAAGCAAGCAGTATTGAAAGGAATGTCCGCCTCATAAAACCATGTAGCCAAATAATACGCAGTTCTATCTCTCTCTTCCTTCTTGATTATATTTTCAATGGTGGTTTGCATTTTTGTTTTCTCTCCTGCAATCTCAAGGTCAGGCCGACATAATAAACTATCCATAGGGTTTCTAACCCGAGGCTTCTTACTCCCAAAACCAGAAGCAATACAACTCCTTTCCCCTTTCCCCTATGATGCCGGCAAGATGTTTCTTGAATCGGTTTATGCTCCCTTTTGTATCTTTTTCGCACAAATTGCATCTTATGCAATTTTTATCATTAGGATATGGGTTATAACCGTATTTCCAACCGAGATCACCACTCCTATTAAATTCCGAAAAGACATCTAAAAAATAATGTAAATTACTAGAGGCTAAGGTAATAAAAAAAATCACTTACTTTGAGAAACTAAGTTTGATTGCTCAATCTTCAAACTTTCACCTCAAAGATGTTTCTAAATACTCAAAATCTTCTAAAACACCCCTTAATAACTTTGCAAAACATCACAAAGTAAATATAGTACCAATGGGTGATGTTTGGTTAAGTTTGAGTAGCCCTTCGATCTTGAAAAATTCACCACAATCTAATTTTTTTGTAGTTTTTTCTCTCTAAATTTGGCTCAGATTTAGGTTTCAAATGAACCTAAAACTTTAAATTTTGGCCCTTAAAAACAAGAAAAAATGACCCAATTTGCCCTCGCCGAAATAGATTTCCACCCCTTGACGGGGCGCAGGCTCCCAAGGCTAGGCGCTAGGCGGCTTCCGTATCGCCTAGGCGGCCGCCCAAGGATGGGCCGTCCAGATTGGCCGCCTAGGCCTAGGGGAAATGGCCAGGCCTTTCGGACCGCCTAGGAGCTAGGCGGCCCGCTTTTTAAATCACTGATATGAGAACAAATAAGACTAGCCAAGTGGGGAAAAGAGAGAGATTGATTTTCACTACAACTGTCTGACAGTCTACATCTCTAGCGATAGAACGTGCATGTTATCACATTTAATGCAATTTCTTAGTTCAGAAACATACAATGTAGCTAATGCAATTTCTTAATCCAAAACTCTTTCATGATGGTAAAAGGGTGGGGAGGGGGAGAGAGTACGAGGTAAACACTCTCATTGCAACAAGGGCCGTTTGGGAACCTGAAAATCTATTACATGAAAATAAATTACACGTAAATATGACACTTTCAGGTACACTTTTATGGTAAGAAAATAGAAAAAGATTATCCAAGATTTCCCAAACAATCGAGTGAAAACTCTTTTACACGCTTGATAGATAAACGGGGTGAAATAAAAAAAAAATCATAGTTGTATGACGAACTGAGTCAATAAGTTAGAGATCCCGATTCAGTCTTCCTCAGTAATGGAAGAACTTTTGAATTCGGAATAGATAGATATGGTCTCTTCGATTTATGAGAGAGTGCATGAATTCCTTTCTAATCTTTTTGCTTTTCTGAAAGCATATTTTTCAGATTGGGGGCTATCGCCGTATCCAATTCCTTATGCTTGAATGGCCCAGCCCACCTGGTGGGGGTGAGCCCTTCGGTTGGTCTATCCTTAGGAGAAAGAATAATTTTCTGCAATTCACCTCCTAATAAACCACATCAAAAAAAATCTTAGCTCTACCCATCTTTTGCCACCAATAGCTCCTTTGCAAACAGAATCGGAAATATATTTAAAGCACCCCATTTCTACAGTTATAGCTATTGTTTATTTCCAGATATCCAAGAGTTGTAGCTATTGTTTATTTCCAAATATCCAAGATTTATTTAGCTATTGTTTATTTTCAGCTATTGTTTATTTCTAGATATCTAAGAGTTGTAGCTATTGTTTATTTTCAAATATCCAAGATTTATTTAACTATTGTTTATTTCCAGATATCCAAGATTTATTTTTTATAGCTCCTAGTAAACAGAATCGCACATATATTTAAAGCACCCCATGTGCATAGTTGTAGCTATTGTTTATTTCCAGAT